CCAGCCCCTGTGCCTGCTTTTGGGTGCTTTAATCCACTGAGCTATTTGGCCAGCCCTTTGCCCAAGGTAAAACTGACAACATTAATTTCATTACAAGCTACAGTTTCCACCTCTTCAGCTCAGAGACATTTTGCTGCATCACAGGTTGAAATTTCCACCTCTCTGGGAATAGAATCATCCTCTCTCCCTTGCAATTGTCATTGAAGCCAGATGGGCAGGGGAGTCCAATTGCAACATATCTATGCTGTTGTTGAACTCCAAACCCCTAATAACCCAGGACAAGTCAGACATCTTCATGAAGCTGTACCTTTTAAGTCCCTAAAAGAATTAAAACAAGGTACCACTACCTACAGCACCATAGTCCCTTTTACCTTAGGTTTAGTAGAATTTATATGACCCTAGTTAATTGGAAAGGAACAGCTAAAGCATGTTTTAGTCTGTGTGATTGTTTGTGGTAAAGGAAACATTTTTTGAATTGTCCATGGATCGGGCCATCCACAATGCTGTTCACAACATAGCCATTATGAAAGATATATTAACTGGAGAAGGTGCCTTCGTTGCCACAATCAACTAACTTTTGAACTGCACATATGTAAATGAGTTAAAATAGCTTCCACAAGGGCTTGGAGGGAACATCCTTCAAAGTGTGAGGCATCCTTTAACCTGACCTCTATCCACTAGAGTCCTGATGAATATTTTCAAGATTTTGTAGTACAGGAGTCAGCTCAGTGGAATAAGCACTTCCCTGGCAAGTACAGGGCCTGAGTTCAATCCCCAGTTCTGGAAAAAAAAATTGTAGTATACCTATTTCAGGCTAGTGAGAGGATTATCAATAATTTAGAGACTAACAAATTAATTGTTCAACAACTGGTCTCTAAAAACAAATAATAATTGATGTAAAGAGGTATTACAAGTCCATAAAAAATGGACTACACTGTCTGAGATGACTCAGATTTGTGTAGACATTGTCCCCTCCTATGTACAATGGCCTGGCTTGACAGCAGCTGTCACTTGAGATATTCATCCACAGGCTAGATGGAAAGAAAGCAATAAAGTAACTTGTTTCAGCTTGGAGGCAGGAGACATTTGCCCGACATTCCTGTGCTGCATGAGTGGAGCAGCACAGCCATCATTCATCCCTTCAACAAAACCTGCTAGTATCTGTACAAAATGTAGATGAGATAAACATGGGATGCATGAGTGTAGATCCAAAACTGATGTGGAAGACTGACTTGTTCCAATAAACTTCCAGCAAGGCCTGCTCTAGACCACCCAAGCAGTGGGGGTGCTTTCCCTAATACTTCACCAACCCCATCCTCCACCACCAAGCACATTTCTGACCTCTGGCAAGAAATAAAAGACAGTGGAGGCTTGGACCTCAGTCCTTCCTCCAGAGTTGTATTAACTCCTGAAATGGGACCCAATATTCCTACTGGAGTCTGTGGACCTTTACCTCAAGGACCAGTGGGACTCCTGCTAGGCTGCAGTAGTTTCACTTTAAATGGTCTCCAGGTTTTGCTTGGTGTCATTGATGCTGATTATTTAGAGGAAATCAAAGGTATGGTTCAAACTACTCAACACACTTTTCACATAACTCCAGACTCTTGTATCACTCAATTGGACATTCTTCCTTTGACAAAAAGTGGAAAATCTATAAATAAGGAAAGGGGATACAAGGGTTTCGGGTCTTCAGATTTTTTTTAGTTCAATTAATTAAGTGGGATCTTCCTGAGAAGAAATTTATTATTGAGAGAAAAACATTCAAAGGGCTTGTAGACACAGACACAGATGTTTAAGTTACTGCCCAACACTATTGGCCTATGGCATGGTCACTGGATGTAGCAACTACAGATCTGTAGGGGATGGGCAGTGTTCTTTGCTCTAGAAGTGCAAAACTGTTAAATTGAGGGATTCAGAAGGCCACTGGGACCTTTAAACATTACCTCCTCCCTCGTATGCCAGTTAATGTATGGGGTTGTGATGTATTACAGGATAGGGGCATATTTGAAAAGCCCTCTTTAGTGGCTCATTAGATGTTGTATCAAGGTTTCATTCCCATTCAGGGGCTTGGGAAAAATAATCAGGGAAGGAGAGAATCTCTTCCAGTTATCCCTAAAATTGATCACTTTGACATAGGCTACTTGCCTTCATATTTTCAGGAGGCTCTTTGATTTCTTCTCTGATCACACAGATGGCATCCAAGATAACCTGAATATCCAGTGACCTTGTTTGGGTTGATCAGTGGCCTCTCACTCAGGAGAAGCTTACCATAGCCCACATATTGGTTAATGAACAGATGCTAGTGGGGCACTTTGAATCTTCCATTAGCCCTTGGAATACTCTAATTGTTGTAATAAAAAAGTCAGAAAGGTGGGGAGTACTACAGGGTTTGCAAAGAGAAACTTAGAACCTATAGGATCACTTCAACCAGGATTGCCCAGTCTGATAGCTATTCCTTTATATTTTTCCCATGTGGTGATTGATTTAAAAGACTGCTTTTTTACAATCCCTCTCCATCCTCAAGATAAAAAATGTTTCACCTTTAGTTTACTCTCCATTAACCATCAGGTCCTAGTACCATTTCCAATGGCATTGTCTACCACAAGGAATGGCAAGTAGTCCAGCCTTATGTCAAGAGTTTGAGGCTGCAGTCATTTTATCAGTCAGGCTCTTCCATCTGCTTATCTTCTTCATTACATGGATGACATTCTTTTAGCATACACCGCCTCATCCACCTTACATCAGATATTTCTCAAAGTGGATGATGCCCTTCATAATGCAAGCCTAGGAGTGTTGCCCCAAAAGATGCAAACTATGGTACCTTATTCATATTTGGGTCACCTTATCCAACAGAGACATATTGTGCCCAAAACTGTTTAGATCCAGGTTACTCATCTTGCAATTATAACTGATTTTTCAGACTGCACTTGGTAAAATTAATTGGCTCTGTCCAGCTCTTAAGCTACCAACTCATGATTTAGGCCCCTCTTTTGACATTCTTAAGGGGAACCTGGCTTCCACCTCCCTAAGAGCACTTACATCAGAAGCTAAAAACTCCTTGGGTAAAGTTAATCTGGCTCTCTCTAATGTTCAGTTTTTTAGAGTTGAGCTGTCTTCACCAATATTTGTAATTATTTTCTAAACTAGACATATGCCCGCTGTGGTCCTTTCACAGTCTCAGGGCCCTCTTATAGTCACATATGTATATACTACACATAAAACTATTATTTCCTTTTATATCCTTTGGCAGTACTGGTGACACATAGATCAATGTGTGCTATTCCACTTTTTGGATTTAAAGTGAAAAATATCACCATTCCTTTCTTTCTTTTCAAAAATAGTGGTTGTGACAATTCTCATCCTCTTGGCAAACTGCATTAGCTAACTTCTCTGTTGTTGCTAATTGTCATTATCCTCCATATAGATTAATTCAATTTGCTTCTCTCAGACCCTTTGTCTTTCCTTCAAAAATAAGCTCAGTTCCTATAGCTGGAGGTGTCTCTGTTTTCACAGATGGCTCCTTTTTGTGCAGGGGAAGTTATGTTATGGCCTCCTCCTCCCAAATACAGGATACAAATTTTTCTCCTGCACAAAAGACTGAATTTCAGGCTGTTATATGGGCCTTAAAGATTATTCATGCACTTCAATTAACCATTTTTTTCAGATAATGCTTATGTTTGCAATGTGATGCACTACATTGAAACAACAACCATTCACAATAATCAGGAAGATCTTTTTTATTTGTTTCACACTCTCCAATTTGCCATTCAGCCATGCCATGTCCTCTGTTTTAACAGACTTCTACCTTCTCATTCCCAGTTGTCAGGGCTTCTTATTAAGGAAAATGCTACTACACAGGGATTGCTAGCTACTGGCACTACTGCTGCACCATAGGACATTTCAAACAAACATCTAAGCTAATCAGGCCAGGTGCTTTCCTACAAAAAACAAAAAACGGAAAAAAGATAAGGACAGATTTCCACAACCCAATTTAAGCACTTGACTTGCCAGGTATACAATACATGCAACTCAGGAAGAGGAGAATATGTGTATTTTTAAGCCTTAGGTGTATAGTTTGAAATTCTGCTACTGCTAAATCAGTGTATCCAACTTTTTATACAGCCCAACTCCATGACACAATGAAGTGGTGGAGAATGGGCGCCAGGCTTCCTATAGGGACACCAAGGATGCAAATCCCCCGCCCCCATATTCTAGACTTTAACCCCCCACTGGGTGCTTCCGTGCCTGACATAGTGTAGCACTGTGTTCACAGATGCTGTACCATGTTGTTGATGAGAGTGGCTCTCAGCAGCCACAGGTTTATCTTAATGTTTCTGCTCTGCCTTTGGTCAGAGCAGCAGACGTAGAAGCTGCATGCCTAGAGCCTACCCAGCTCTGCATGCAGGGCCTGTGTGTATGTTGGGAATGAGGCACACGTGCATGTCCTGGAATTTATCCTGTAATGTAAGTGCAATGCCTTCTATTAAAGTCTTCAGTACAATTCAGTGCATGAACTTTGCAGAGCAGTTGCACCTAGCTGTGAAATCACATGGCCTCCCAACACAGCTGGCTCTCTGTGCCTGCTGATATGGAGCCTAAGTGTACAGCCCTACATGGCCTGAGACCAGGATGCCCAGGAGTAAAGCTTTACTCTCCCTGTGCTGGCTCCTCCACTGGGTGCCCTAAAGGGTCTATACCTGGACTGACACCAACAGGACAAGGCTGTGCTCTGAGGTCCTCATCACCTGAACAGGACAAGGCTGTGCTCTGAGGTCCTC